TTTTGGGTTTGCAAAAGATAGAGAGTGAAAAAGTAATTATTGGATATGTATGGAGACCTTGAAGTTAAAGTAAAGAAAAGACAAAGAAATGTAAAAAATGTAATAAATAGGCAATAACGACAACAAATAGATTTTCTATTTTTATGTCAACTCGCATGCAAAAGTGAATAACAGTACTTTGTTATTATTAAACGTTGAGAAAATTAGTTTTTTTCCCTCTCAAATTGATGCATTAGACATTTGATATGCCATACAAATGCTGAGTGTGCTTTCTCTTCCTTTCTTCTTCTAGTTTTTGATTAAAATAAAAGCACAAAGCAAACAAAATAGATGTTTTACACACAGACCCGTTTTAGCTCCTACCATCAAATCCAGCTAATTTAGTCAAATCTTTTTTCTATATAATTTATAAAAATGTCCACGTCATCATCATCTGTCAGACTTAAAATAATTGCTGAATGTAACGTACTAAAACAACAACGTCTTAATCTCAATGTGGATCAAATTGAAAACATTTTTTACTATATTCTTCAGGATTTAAATGAGTTAAAGAATGATGATATTCCATATTTAGCTGCCGTGGATGAAATAATTAATGCATTAGACCATACACAGTCACTATTAGTCGTTGCTAATCTAAACCATCCGTTATTCATCGTTTTTCGTGAAAATCTTACACGTCTGCTGCAGAATAATGCGCAAATCTATTCAAAAATGATTACACTATTATCTCTTTTGGCGAAAGGAAGTGAGAATATAAGTAGTTTGATGGAACTTTTCGTCAATAAATCGTTTATTGACGTCGTTAAATGTTGCATTGACAAAATATGTGAAACTGGGAACGTTGAGAATTTTCCAGATATTCATGTGCTAGTTTTAACATTACAAAATTTTCAAAATAACAGACGAAATATAATGGATAATTCAATTATCCTACTATTATTAAATTCAGTTCTGAAATGTCTCTCATCCAAGTATTATTTTGAAGCATTTAAAGCGGCTTTACTGCGGTCAGACGCACCACTATCTCAATCACAAATATTTTTCTTGTTTATATGCACCGATTATTTCATTATGTACTGTGGAAAACAAGCTGAAGAATTCTCATTAATGATTTTTGACTCAATGATGATTGGCTATAAAGAAGCGTTTGACCTCGTAACAAAATGGAATCCATCATTTGCTGACTGTGTCGTTCAAGTCATTTGTGTTATTAATCGTCTTATTGTTTTTAGTTCGTGTGTACAGAATAATTCTAATAAACTATCGTATTTGGTAAATTTTTCGTTTACTTTGACCGCTACAGCTTCTAACCTACAATTAAACCGAGTGTCGGTAATATGACTCTTTCGGCTGACAACTCAGCATTATTTGAAATCATAAAAACAAGAAATCTCGATTTAGTTTTCAAACTGGCGACCAAGTCAGAATGCCAAACAACACAATTTTATTCTAAATTAGAATTTCTAATAGACTTCTAGCTAAACTGTGAAATGACAATGAAATACAAAAATTAGAAAATCCGAAAAAGACAGCATGGTTTCTCAAGTAAGCAACCACGTTGCGAATGAAAATAAACGAATTTATAGTTTAAAAGCGTTGCTGTCTCTGAATACAAATGTCCAGAGTGCTCTTAGGTTTCTGAGACCGGTTTCTCGAAAACCGATTCTTCAGACCCAAAAAGCTTTCTGTTCAAAAGTAATTTCTGAGCTCAGACTGCAGAGCATGTCGAATTACCTATGTAAATACATTTTATAACTAACGGACATCTCATAACCGAGTTATAAACAATTTAGAAAAGTATCTGCTGTCGCTGAAGGAACATGTAGTGAGCATAAAACACTTTAGGGAAAAAGCTGAAGAAGGGAAAACAGTTCTGCTGCTCTATTAACTTTGGATAAGAGTGACTAAGGAGCTTTCTGACTTGTCACTGTACGCCCTATACTTTCTCACAAGGCGATTGTATCGCTTCGTTACTCTTCATTTTGCTTTTGAAAATTATCTCTGTCAGACCAATATTTTTTCGATAATGGCTGAGTTTTCTTTATTTTTTAACATTTTCAAATACCTTTTGCAAAAGCTGCAACAAGTACAGCATCAGGCGCACATGGAAAAACGAGAGAGTAAGTAGAAATGCTCGAAACGTAATAAGAACAACAACTTACAAGCCAGCACCGACGACAATAATAATCATTAAAAAAGCCCTGTTGAAACAGAAAACTTTTTTACACCAAGAACACTAAATGAATTATGAATCATGTCTTATGTTACCATCCATAAAGTAAAAGAACATCTGGATATATATCAAAAGAAGAGACAAGAACGATAAAAGGCGTCCCTAGTCCAACATCTTGGAACCAAGATCTTGCCCAAGATCTTACGTTAGGATTTGGCACTGGATCTTGAAAAAATTCGTACAAGATCTCAAGCCATTTTTGTACCCAAATCTTACGCAGGACCTTGAGTATAGATATTTCTTGGTATCTTGTACCCAGGATCTTGAACATTTGAAAAACTGTCATATTTCAAAAACACCTATTTTTCTTTGCATTTTTCAACAAGTGTTGGAAACAAAAAATATTCACCGCTCAGCGGTGATCATTTCATCCGCTAGGATGAACGATCCCTAACTTGGCCTTAGAACGGCTATTTCCGTATATGTAATATACAGAAATATAGCGAAGAAAAAGAGCTTTCGAATGATATATAATAGTCGTCAGGAATTGTGAAACTGAGAGAGAAAGATGCAAAACTAAAAAGAAGCACGATAAAAAGAAATAGCAGATTAATGATGCTACGAGGACGTCGAATAAAATGCATGCTTCCATATTTGTCTATTTTACAGACCATAAAAGAAGTTCATGTCTGAAATGACGAATTGGGTATAAGTAGTGTTACTGCTGTAGAAAACCGTGTCATCTGCAAAGAATCTTGTGATACAATCGAGATCGTCGCCTAAGTCATCAATATATATCGAAAAAAGCGGAGGAGATAAAATGGAACCTTGTGAAACACCTCGATTCAGCACCTTGATTCAACCCCTCGACTTATTCACTATATTAGGACTAGGCGTACACGAGTAGAGGTTAACCGAACTTGAGTTCTGTTATGACTTGACCTCTCTTCGTACTAGCATCTTTTTGGTTCGCGATATTGATATGCACCTTAACTAAATTGTTCTAAAGATTTTAAAATTAGTGACGCTTTGTTAACTAACTTTATACGCTACATGAAGTTTCCACTTTCAGTGATTGAAAGTATCAAAAAAGTTACCATACAAAATATCTACTCCAAAAAAATATCTTCCGACATTGCGTCTACTGCACATCCTCCAGAGATATACAGAACAGAAAACAATACGCTCGAGATGTCTCGAGCCTCAAAAAAGTCTCGTACCCACCACTTTTATATCGAGACTTTCGAGACTAAAGTTTCGGGTATCCAGTTCCTCGTGTCGGCGAATGTCTATCGATTTTCATTCTAGAAAGGAGAAAATCTTTACAAATTTTCTATAACCTGAAGTTATAGTCATAGTTTTAATTTCTAAAAGCTATTCCCTGATTTTCCATAGAATTGTCCCATTCTTTGAAAAATTCCTAATACCCTAGAAATTCAACGATTTTCTAGAAAATGACGTCCAGTTTTTCATAAATTCAAAATCACTATTTCACTGATCAATACAGAAAATGAAAGCATGTATAGAGGCTAAAAATCAAAAAAATAGTTGATAGCCTCTCTTCTTTCATTTGGTTATTCTTCGTTGTTAAACGAAAAGTGTTTTTCTCCCTTTGAGTTCTACGTGAAGGGAGCTACTAAAATTATCTGCTTTTCAGGGAAGCATTTTGGAGGGAGAGTGTGAGAACAAAAGTTGTTTAGCCTCATATTCTACACTATATGGTGGAGAGAATTTTCGAAATTCGTTAAACTCGATTTTTAAATTTAAAAATACTGTTTTTAAAAGCTTGAAATTTCGCAAAATTTAATTTGAAAATCGAGTTTAACGAGTTTCGAAAATTTCAGGATATATACTTCAAAGTGTTCTCTACGAACTGGTGGGACAAGCCAAGCGGGAGGAACCCCTCTAAAGCCAGTCTTAAACTAGGAATTGAACAAATCCTGCCATTAATCATAGAGTCAAGGTTTACAGACTCAGCCTCAATAAGAGAATCTGTTTACATGAGGAATCACAACGTTCATTTCGTTCTATTCAAAATAAACAAAAAAAAATTTGCACTACTTTGAAGTCTGAGATATAATATTTTTGTGTTGAGTAAAAACTCAGACTGTTTGAATTATAAATTTCAAAGTGAAAAACATTTGATAGTGCAACAACGAACACAACAGAAAAGAGAAACTCATACAGAAGTTGCATTTCTGACAGTTTAGCCTCCTTATTGCATTCTTATATTATGGTTATTTCATCACTTCTTATATATTGAAACATTCCATGTCTCTTCGTAAACGAATATCTGGCGTGCAATATGGAGTTCTTTTAAGCCTCTGTATAGTACTACCAGGAAACTGATTTAGTGTCATCTATTGTAACCACGGTAAAATCGTTTTGGGGATTGAAAGTCAGGTTTAACTTCTATCTAATATTTGAAAAAGCTTTGCACTGCCTTGGATTGGTCAATAACTCTAAAAAGACTTCCATCCTATTCATGATCAGCTTGAATTCCAGTACGTGTACCAGAAAAGTCTATACAAATCGGATCAGAAAACAATCCTTGCTCGTTTCTACTTTACTTTTATTACATGATTTGCTATTTGAAATGGATAGAAGGCAAAAATGTTAAAGTAAAATACAGGTACTTTAGAAAAATTATGGCAACGAAACAAAAACTCAAATATAAACAAAATCAGAAAAGTTGAAGCGTCAGATTCTATATACTTATCGTTTTCACATCACAATGTGTTATTTCAGACAAAACTACTGCTACTGTATGACTGAACTATGTTACTGATGTCTTAATACGTTGACTAAGTGATACTGTCTTTGTTCACCAAGGCGGTTGAGGAAATATTTGCACTTCTGGTTTTTCAGCTGCTACTGTGGGTCTCAGTATTCGTGATGCTTGTGGAGTTTGTGTTCGAGGTGATTCGTCTTTAACTGATCGTGACGATGTTGGTGTTCTAGGGAATTTTTTCTTTGGAAGTTCTATGGCTTTTGGATGAAATAACTCATAAATTTTAAAAATATTCTGTTTTTTGTTTCTGTTGATGCTTCAATATAATCAGGATATGCTTTTAACGCCACCTGTTTGAAGCCCTGACCAAACAATGTTAACATTTTCTCTATCTCAATTGATGTTGGGCGTAGTTGTGGATTATTATGTAAACAACGTTGTATAAAATCAAAAACACGGGACTTTGTTTTTTTAATGTTATTTGAAAATTATTAAAATTATGTGGTGTTTCAGTGAATAAGTCATTTAATGTTAAACCAAATGTATAAATATCTAATTTTTCATTATATTCACCTTCATAAAACTCAGGAGGCATAAATCGTATACAGGCTATTTGCCTATATTATTTATCTTATTAGATGTCGGATAAAAACGAGCGTTTTACCTGTCATTTTCTGTTCTAAGAAGGAACTCCTAAAATATCTATTTAATTGACCACTCTTGATCATCAACTGTAGACGCAAATTCAGGATTTGAGCATAAATAACAACAGATATATATATATATATATATTCACATTCATTAGTTGATTAACTTATTCCAATCAAACTTGCAATTTTAGGCTATTCTTATTACAAATAACAGCAGAGTTTCTTAGTTCATTTATTCCAATGGTGATTTCATCGTTTTTCAATCAATTCATTGTATGCTGGGAATTATCATTCTTTTTAGTTTTCAATCGTTTAGGTTTATTTTCTAGCTTTCCTTGTGTCCTTGCCATATTTTGCAAATAATCTTTGAGCAATGGACTTGATGAACCCAAAATCACTACGCCACTATCATGAGCTAATGTAAAGTATTTACAGGCCCTGGTATAACTGTGCCCTTTAATATACTCTGCTGCTCCTAAATTATTGTAAACGACCGATAGAGCACCCAAATCTACGGGTTTGTTTTCTTCCAAAAGGGCACGAGCTTTTCGATAATTACCAAGCTGATGATAAACGCGTCCAATATTATTTAAAATTATCGGCCGTGCGTCTGTATGTTCCGAAGACAACGATTTTAGCGTTACTTCAAGCATTCCTAGCCGATCATCCAATAGGGTTGGACAGTACTGTGAATCAAGCTGAACCAGTTTATGGTTTGTTTTAGCGACTGAGCATGTATCAGTTTTAGTGTCTTTGGTCCACGTCATTGCCTTTTCAAAATAATCCTTGACCACGCTATAATCCTTTTTGTCCTATAGAAGGTAGCCAAGTTGGTTACAAACATAGCCGTAGTCCTCGTGTTCGGTTTGAAGGTCAGTTAATAGCATACGATAATATTTTTCGGCCTTGTCGGATTGACCAATTTTTGTTAAAAATATGGGTGTTTGAGGAATTTCTTGTTTTAACAAGTCTGTTAATTCTGACTCATTCGGATCCGGATATCTGCTTGCCGCTAATTCTATCGACCACATATTATTACCTTCGGACGGTTTCATCACTCTTTTGATACGCCACACAGTTCCAATTGAGAACAGCACTTCGTCTTCGGCTGGTACTTTAGTCTCATTCGGTGTAAGTATCAGAAATGGTTTATTGATTACGTCACGATCAATATGCAATTCAAACAACACGAGTCCTTGGTCGGGACGAGTTGCTCCAGCATAAACTATAGCCACGTCTCTATTTTTTGTTGTCGACAAAAAACCATTGAACGATATTAGTTCACCCTCATTTTCAATTAGATTTTCTAATGTACTACAAGCCAAAAATTTACCACGATATACGGTTTCGATATGTTCTTTGTCCGACTTTGACCGTTCTTTGCTTAATTTATCTAATTGTTATGTAGATCAGAGATAAACGAACGAAAAGCATGTACATGGTCAACATCTTCTGTGCCACACATCATATTTAGCAGGTGCAGGATGAATGAAGAAGGCATTGTATACCATTTAATGGCGTCCGATGGCCTATACCGCTTACGGAATTTTCTGATATTTTTCTGTGCACAGCTGTCGTCTCAATAATGGTACCGGCAAATTTTCAACATTTCAGCTTTTGCTGAGGACGATACTGGTAAATATAGTAAAATATCAATTATTAATTGGAATTTAATAAAGGAAATATCGTCTTTATTTTTTTTTTCGAATTGTTAATATTCCTTCGACCGAATATGCTAATTGAGGATAAAGTTTTGTTGTCTGCTGGCACTCACTCTTGGTTGACGATCATCGGTGATGTTATTCCGTTTTCACCACATGAAAAAGTGTCGTCTTTCAGGTTGTTATATAACAAAGCTTTATTACTCGCCACAAAATGGACCAGGTTCCTTTTATGTTCTTCCGTCCAGTGATTTTCTTCAGTCTTACCGGTGCAATACACGTAAATGCGTAATATTAACGATTCGCTTTGTAGACATGACGGCTGTGAAGCAAAAAGTGGTATAACATTTACGGCGAACGTGTGCGATATAACTAAAAATATTCGGTCTGATTTATGTGTTTTAAGATATGCAGCGAGTTCAACAAAGTCATTGAACGGTTTTAAAAATTGAAAAGTGTTGTTAAGATCTTTGTTCATTTGAAGATAATCTGCTCTCTTTTGACGTCTGCTTTTAACGTCATAAAGCCAAATACCAATGAAGGTTTGTGTATAAACTTCGGTTTCAATATGTATTGCTAATGGTGCTAGTGACGCTTCAGCTTCTGTGATCACCGGTCTAAACACAAATGAAATATTTTCTTTTATGTTCAGCAACTGCTTCATTTATTCTGCGAGCTGCTTTGCTTTGGCTAGAAACAGTTGCAATGCATAAATGCAATCCACATTTTGCACTTGTTACGGATACTAGATACAAAGCACGTTAAAATTGCTTCCGAAAAATCTTTCTGTGTTCAGGGTTTGTGAGAGCGGATTGACTTCGCCCATGGTGGCTTCTATCGAAAGCAGTTGTATTATAGGGGCGAAGAAATCCTGAAACCGAGTTACCTTGACATTATGAGTTTTGGCTTCTTTATGTTTGTTTTTAATGTTGGATAGGGTGAATGATCAGCTTTCATCTTTATGCAGAATCCGATGAAATAATAAAAATTTATCTAAAATCAAAAGATATCATTATACAAATAGGATCCGCTGAATCGCTTCGACCCTTTCTTACTAAATTAAAAATTGAAGCACATCCTCTGCATAAACTAATTAGTGCAGGAACACTCAAGAATCAAGTGCTCCGGTAAAATTTGTAAATTAATGGCAAAACCATACTTAAATAATCAAGCGCTGGTTTAAGAAATACACAAATGAAAATCCCTGCAGACCGGAATCCATGTGTTTAATTAACAGGAACCAGAAGGCCGTCATCCGCTAGTTGCTGTAAACAAGACTGTCGTTCGTCGGCAGACGTACGCTGAAATGGCGTCTTTTTTTCTGTGCCAGGATATTTCGCCAACCATCCAAGCATCAAAAAATTATGTGGAAAATCAACGAGAATGAATTGTTCAAGTGTACGTTTTGACTGTGCCGCTGTTGATAGCGATGATGGAGTGTCTTTTAGCGCTCCGGTAAGAATAGAAGGAATCATGGCTTTGACTGTTTCGATTCGATTCTGAGAGTGATTGTACAATGCTAATGTATGTCGAAGAACACCATAAGCTAAATTAGCTGCACGTTTACATGAAGCGATCGAAATGAATACAGCTTGACGTTTTGTTCTAATATTGACAGGTGCTATTGGGAAAAATATTTCTCTCAATTTTGACTGAATGATGACTAACCATTTTGCATCAAGAGCCTTTTTCCACCGTCTTCAAATTTGTATTGACCGATCAAAGCTTCAGCAATTTCACAGGCGATATCGATCGCTCTCGTCACAGAACAGATACGTGATACGAGTTCCGTAAATTTGGCAATAAAATCAATATCGGATTTTTCAATTATATTTTGTTTTTCCTGTTCTTGCGCGTCTAGCACTAATTTACCTGTGAAGTTTGTATAATAATTGTGAGCATTTTCATTCTCATTCACTTGATCATTTAACCCATTCGTTTGCTGGTGTTGTCCCATGTGGAAAATTGATAACTAAAATTTAACATCACGTTTAAACAGTCATATCAACCGATTTTGCTTACTCTTCGACTTTTGCCGGCTGACCGATAAACAAAAATTCAACGTTTCGCAGTTCGGCTGCGATCATATAAAAAAGTGAAAATGATGGCAAGCTAGTGTCGATTTGACGCTTATCAACATCTCGTGGCATAACTGGTGGTAATTGTTTTTGACACAAAAATAGCATCCGATTGATTAATCCTTTGCCAGATGTTTCAGTGATCATGTCTTTTATAACTGAACCGAACCGATCAGCTGTGGAGGCACCAGTCATTGAGACACATCCTTCGGCTACGTGAATGTTTTTGCCCGCTACATGACGCGTTAAATTTTTTGCTCCATCAAACATTTTTATTGAAATTGACATAGCTTCGCTGCCTTTTGGTGAATCTTTACTTTCCAACAAATCTAAAGTGACAAACAAATGGTAGCAAAGATTTTCTGTAGCTTATCTAAGCCCGTCATCAGACAAAGAGTTTACATGTTACGTTTCTCAGATTCACATCAGTAAATATTTCTGTTAACGGAAAGTGTATTGCAAGATTCATTTCAATTGATGCTCCAATAGGTAAATCTTAGCAGACATGTACTTACTCATTTTAGACATCATTTGTATCGAACTCAGTTGATGCAAGCAACATATGCCCATGTTGTGCACATTGTTCGAGCAAGCCATTTGTTGAAGAGCTATCGGCAACGGTCGGCAATGGTTGTTTTGTTTGTTTACAGACAAATGTCAAATGATCAAACAGATGAATAATTTTGTGTAATGATTTAAGCATTTTGCCGAGATTATGTGACTTTAATGATGCTGTAGGGAAAAAATATTCTTTATAAAGAATGACGAAAAAAATCAGCTTCTTACTTGTTGCTCTAACTAAAACACAATTAAGTGCACATGGTGATTCTGTGTCACCTAAATAATTTGTCCAATGTGCATTTTGAAGCAAATATGATATGATTGACAGCATCGAAAAGTAACATGCCATCGGCTGATGTCCAACACCTAATTGATAATTTTGTAATATCCGTAACATGAATGGGTGAGTACATTGTTCGATCTTAATTATTATTCTGCATAATGACCACACGTGAGGGTACGTAAGGTACTTCTAATAATTTTTATTGGTTTGAATATTAACCAATTGCCAATGAAAAAAATAAATCATGTTTACTTTTCTAGTTTTAACGAAATTCACAAGGGAAAGAATAAATGAAAAAAGCTGTGTCAAGAAGAATTTTTAATGGCATATGCGCACCATTACAGTTTTAGATGTTTAAAAGAACAATACGATTGGACAGAGTTATAATTGTGCTCTTGTTCAAAATAACGATAGAGACTATTTTGTTCACTTTATAACCAACGATCGTGGCTTCTTAAGACTTTAGCCGTTGCCCGTATTTTGACGGTTAATTAAACCTGTTGCAATCGGGATACTATGTGTTCAAATAAAACCATCCGTTTGTAGCATTAAAAGAATGTTCAGAAGGCTTACAAGTAGAAAAAAATCACGTCAAGTAGCCAAGCATAAAAGTATTCAGAGTGAACGCTCTATGACATTTTTTTACCTGATATTTCAGATAATGCAAAAAGCAGTGAGTAACCAGAGCTTAACGAATGATATTTTCACGGTTTCCCTCACAGAGCGGGACATGCAAAACTTCACAGCAAGTGAGTATATCTTTTATGAATGTCTTGTAATCGTGCTAGGATCAGTGAACAGCATAGAAAAGGTTGTGTGTATCTGTTATTGAATTTTCAGGCATTGATAACATTTTGGCAAATTTGGAAGCCTTGAACTATCCTTATGGGTTATTTGTGGCTACTCCGCCTTCAAAAGTTAAATCAAAAAAGAAGTATGCCGGTGCTTTCGAATATCGAATACAGCAAGTGTTTGAGAATTCAAATTGCGTTTTAACGATCGCAACAGATTCTCGAACAGTAAAAAGCCTAGAAGACTTTCATAGATTGAGCAAATCGAGCCTAATTTTAAATGAAGAAATGTATTAGAAAAATGTAACAAAAGAAAAAAGATTTTATGGTGGTAAGGTTTGTACAATCATATAAGTGCATACAAAGTAATAATAATGATTTCTTTCGGGCGAATTCAGTTTATGTTCCGGGATCATTGTTCGATAAAAACGAATTAAAATGGAATCTGAGCGCTTTGAATAACCCATTATGTGATCTGAGACGTGAAAAGCTGTTGAAACTTGATGGCATCAATTCATTATTTTTATATGTTGGTTCTGCTGGCTCATCATTTGGTCTGCACGAAGAAGATCTGTACTTGCCGTCAATTAGTTATTTGCATGAAGGTGGCCCAAAAGTATGGTACGTATATTTATAATTTACGAAACTACAAAACCTATGATTCAGAGTAAGAATTTAAGCCCTGACCACCGTAATCCTTCACCGTTGGAGGTGAAAATAAGAACGCTGTGTTTTGTGAATCAGATATAGCAAATCGCTATCTAAGATGCATAAGGAAGACGTCTATATTACGCTGATAGATTATGTATATTGAAGCAGAAAATAAATATCAAAAATAAATATCCATTAGAAAATTTGAATGAGAAGAAGGGAAGCCGTCTACGATGAGAGTGGATATCATAAGGTTCTAAGTATATTTGGTTTTTTAAGGTACACTATTGATAAACATGACGAATCGTCGCTAATCCGCCTGCTGGATACACGTCTTGACAATTCGAAAAAAAGTTGCAGCCAATATATTCAACATAAAACCATTCTTTTGCCACCTAGCGTGTTGACAAAACATGGCATTAAAGTACGACACGTGGAACAACAAGTTGGCCAATATATTGTCACCATTCCAAACTCATTTTACTACGGATTTAATATGGCAGATAACCTCGCTGAAGCAACAAATTTTAGCTCTAAAAGTTGGTTGTTAAATCCTAAGATTCTGAAATTCAAACCATGTGCGTGTACGGATGAAAATGTGGGGTGGCATTCTATTGGTGTTCCACTGTATGCTGAGTTGCAAAAACGTCACAGAATATGTTGTATAGATTTATTCAGACTTCTTAACGCACGAAAGGGCACTTAGACATCTAAAGATCATAACATGTGCCCTTCAATTGACACGCTACTTTCTTTTGTTATAGGATGCGACAAGCGCCGTACACTTGAACAATTCATTGAATATTTACAAAATCACGCTCGTTCCGGGATCCCAAAGAACTACAAACCAGCTGACAGTCAGTATTTGAAAGACAATCAGCAACATTTATGAAAAATATTTTGGTAAAAATAATTCTCATGCAGATCAAATAGAAGTGGCAATGTGACGTACATGAAAACAGTGGTTTTGCAATTCGTATATTTTCTTATCAAACTAAACGTGTTCTTTTTATATTTCTACTGCGACTGAGATTGCACATAAACACAGTATGAACTCTCGATATTCATCAACTTTCAGACATCACAGAAGCAAATCTATACGTGTAATTGTTATCTTAGGCGCCTCAATGATCGCTGTTGACTAGCACTGCATCATAGGGACCGTGAATCCAGAGAACACAGGAGGACGTAGTCCTCCTTGTCACTGAGCGTGCATACAACTTTTTCAGTTTAGCGATATACAAAACAGGCGTGATGAGGTTCTTCAACTACTATGTGAGGCGCACTTATTTCTTCGAAACTCCTACAAAATTGACTTGATATCTACACTATAAACAGGTAAAAGAGTTATTTTACTATCTTTACTTTACAGTCGTATCGCTTCCAAAACAAATACTAAAGTAGATAAGCACAATCCAGGGATACGCTGTTCTAAATATACTTGTACTCGACTATCCAGAAATGCGTAACGTTGTAAACCCCAAACACAAACTTTTTCATACAGCATTCAGCCAACCAAAAAGTTTATCATAACTGGTTCAATAAACATATCACCGTGCTCACCGTGATCACAGTCCTCACAGTGATTCTATATATACGAAAATTACAGCGCTCACAGTGATCACAGTTCTCCTTCAACGACATCAAATTTTTCATACCGCATTCAACCAATGGAAATTTATCATAACTGGTTACTTAATCATATCAACCTGATCACAGCGATAACTGTCCTCAGTATGAATATATACCTCAATAATGCGTACTGTAGCTGTCCTGGTTATAGTCTGAGAATGTATCGAATTTCAAAATGGCCGCGTGCGCATTTTTGTCATTAAGTTCGAAACATTACTAGAACGTCTACGAATGTTTATCGAAAAAATAAAGTATCATAATTTATGTATGAATTTGATCGAAAATTCCATTACCGTCGATGATATTACCAACCGATGTTTCCATAGTCTGTGACAAAACATATACACCACCTATCATTGCAATTAGTCAATACGTTGGGAAAGAATGTGAAATGAATGGTGATGAACGAGCATTTGGTCCAACAATAATCTATATGATCGATTTCTTGCATGATAAACCACATGTGTTCATTTGTCCAACTCATGACTCATTTCCATTCATTATTCAAGTTATTGACAAAATCAAAACGGAAGTTGATGAAAAGTCCCCCAACAGAGACTTTTTCGGTAATCTTATCAATTGTGTACTCGATGATTTAATTCCACAGATTGAAGATTGACAGTATCTTGGTTGATGTTCTCGATTTTTTTCTGTTAAAGTTGGTTTTTTAAAAATAAATCATTTGATTGTTCATCGATTATTGTTTTTGGTCAACACATCAAAAAGAAGGTCGTTCCATAATGTTCTTTCACCTTTCCTTTTTTTCCTCAACAGTCGAACGTTGAGTTTCTTTTCAATATTGGATATCTTTTATTCACAGTCGATTGTGCTCGTTTCAGCTCTTACTTTTCAGTAATCAATTGTCGAAAAAAATCAAGAAATTATTGCGTGTGCTTCGAGATTTCATTGAGATCTTTATGTCCCATCAAAATAGTAACAGATTTCGAATGTCCTTACAGACGTGGCTAATTACGCCATTTTAAGATGGATTTTGCTGATGGGTTGTATTTCGTTGCTGTTGTAGTAAAGAACTTTTCTGTAATGAGCATTAGTTTTATGGTTTTAAGCGTCTAAGTCAAATGTTAAAGAAGTAAGATCTGTACTAGTAGAGTTTTTTCTCAAGCACATAACTTTGTGCTCAAGAAAGTCACATTTATTCCTCATGTGATGCACAATCTTTTTTGTCTGATGTGCCAGAGTTTCTTGAAGTTAAGCATTATTTTTCGACATGATAAATATAACGAACTGAGCATGTGTACATGTGTATTCAATATAACAGTGTTTTCAAAAAAAAAAATGAGTGTTATATGACAGCCCAGGTCAAAGAAGCTTGCTGTAAGACTTTATAAGATTCTTCTACGATTCCGTTTGATTTCGTAAGATTCGTATATGAATTTGTAAGATTCTGTAAGAAACATAGAAACTGATCCTTGATGTAAGATCTTATAGTAAGACTTCATCAGATTTCGTAAGATTCTTGTATGATTTTTATAAGATGATCCAATTATATGATTTTTCGTAAGAGTTTATACGATCGTGTAAGATCTTGATTTGATCTTTTGACCTGAGAAGACACATGTACTTCGCCCTTTTTTTAGCGTAGTATAAAGACTATGTCTCTGCGGTTTTTTTAGCGTTTTGTCTGTTTTCTGATCTACTTGAAACTAAATAATTTTAAAAAGATAAAGTATTTTACAAGGTGAGTACACAGCAATTTTAAAGAGGACGAGAGAAGCAGTTAAAAGAAAGAAATTCGTTCTACTTTTCTATAATCATAGAGTGGAACTATTCTTCTTGAATCAGTCTATGGAACCAAGGCTGATTATCTTTCCCACGTACTGCACCAACTCTATGGTATCTTCCTCTGTATAGACTCAGTTAGATAAAGTGATTAAGATCTCAAAATACAGATGCACAAAGGTGAGAAAAAAATCATTCAAAGATTGATGTTTTCACAAATGTGCGTATCCTTGGTGTGAGATCGCTTTGCCGTTAGTGCCTTTCAGGATGTACTGAGGATCAGTTCGGTCCTGTTTGACGTACAGCGGATTGGGGCTCAGCCATTCCGCCTCATTCACACGATGCTAGATTGGCTCCGGTAATGAACTGACCCGAGCGCTAATATCCACGGGTATACATTCTCTGAAAGTCCAAGCCTGAATGCTCGATACTTCACATATGGCAAGCGTGACCTTATCGGTAAAACTCACAAGTGAATAAATCAAAAGACATCAGCCTCTCACTTTTATTTTGAGGTCAAGTCACACGTCGAATTAGAATTGAGACTTACAGCGCAGAACTTAGTAAATTTGAGAAAGAAGCTTCTGGAGTAAAAATTGATTGCACCATGTTCTTGAAGAAAAGTCCGAGTAAAACATAATGGAATCAAGTCGAGAAAACGAACTAGAGTTTTTTAGAAAATGAGAGAACAATTAGGCATGATTTTCTTAGTATATGCGCTTGAAAGTAAAAGTTTCCAAGAAAAAAAGTTGTTTTGGATCTAGCATAAGTTAGCTAAAAAGGAACATTTACCTAACTTGAGCTAGCTTATTATTTCCTTTAGGTAGCTTAAGCTAGGCCAAAAAACATTATTTTTGCTTGGGTTTAACGCTGTTAATGGTATTACGATTAGGAAGTTTGCGGATATAACATGGAATTTAAAAAGAAAAACGAAATGTGCGTGCGCTCCAGTTGTACAGCATAACACACAACATAACACTTTCTTAGTTGCTGGTCAAACGAAGTTTTCAGTCAGACGAAGTCTCTAATTCTTGCTTTAATTAGAATTAATTGTTAAGCTGCATTGAAAAATATAGCCTACTATAGACAAGTAACGTTCATCATTCTGATTCACTTATCCCTTGACTGGAAAGGAATCGCCAATATAAAGTTGTTTCTATAGAATAAAATAATTATCTTTTTTGTTCACATTACTTTCTGAAGAACATTCTCAAGAAGCAGCAGCAAGCTAAAACTATGGGAAGCTACTGAAAAACTGCTGGGAAACTCCGGAAGATAGCTAGGAAACTGATGGACACTCTGGGAACCTAAGAGAAACTGCAAGAAAACCAAAGATAAGCGCAATCAAACAAAAGGAAACTAGAGATTTTGAAAGGAAACTAAGGAAAGCTGAAGGAGACTAGGAGAAATCGATGGGAAACTACTGTGTGCAGCTAAAAGCTTGATAAAACAAGAATCAGTACGCACCAATTTAAGAAATGCTTGTCTCACTGCGCGCTTCGACGCGCATTCTTTAACTGGCTGAACTTTCTTTTGACCGAAGCAGTTTTTTCTTAATGATCACTTACCATGAGCTGGAGCTATTTTCGTTACACACCTCACCGGCATGATGCTTCCCCTTGCTCACGTGGTTACTAACCGGAAATATCTACTCTGTCCTGAACCACACATTTCTGTCTTGATCGGTGGTCTGCCACTTCCTGTACCACTCGCTATCTCTTTCATTTCGAAGACCAACAATAAGATTAGATCGGCAACACCAAAACTAATTCCTTATCGAATATCGAAAGAAAAAAGCCGTATCTACGATTAAATGATCGGAGCTACTTTTTACACAAATGCTTGTCCACCAGGATTTCGCCTTGAACCTT